ATAAAATTACCGCCTAATTAATGTGTCTAATCTAAAAAGTGGTTTTTCTTGCAATGGGACGGTAGACATGTTTTTTTTTGGGGAAGGGGGGGGGGTGGGGGGTGGAGGGGTGGGGGGGGGGGGTGTGTGTGTGTGTGGGGGGGGGGTGGTGTGTGGGGGTGGGGTGGGGGTGGGGGGTGGTGTGTGTGGGGGGGGTGGGTTGGTTTCAGTGTTTCTTTAAGACTTTTTCCTCCCCGGAGAGGGGTGGGGGTACTTGAAATTTTCGGGGGCGGGGGGTAGAATTTTCTGGGAGGGGGCGGACACTGGAAAAAGTATATAATTATATTTCGTTGAATGGGACGGTAGACATGTTTTTTTTGGGGGTGGGTGGTGGTGGAGGGGTGGGGGGGAGGTGGTGTGTGGGGGGGGGGGGATGGGGGTGGTGTGTGGGGGGGGTGGGGGGGTGGTGTTTGGGGGGGGGTGGGGGGTGGTGTGTGGGGGGGTGGGGTGGTTTCAGTGTTTCTTTCAGACTTTTTCCTACCCGGAGAGGGGTGGGGGGTACTTGAAATTTTCGGGGGCGGGGGTAGAATTTTCTGGGAGGGGGCGGACACTGGAAAAAGTATATAATTATATTTCGTTGAATGGGACGGTAGACATGTTTTTTTTTTGGGGGGTGGGGGTGGGGGGGGCGGGTGTGTGGAGGGGGTGGTGTGTGGGGGTGAGGGGTGGGGAGTGGGGGTTGTGTGTGGGGGTGGGGGGGGTGGGGTTGGGGTGGGGGTGGTGTGTGGGGGTGGGGGGTGGGGTGTGGGTGGTGTGTGTGGGGGGGTGGGTTGGTTTTAGTTTAGAGAAAAGAGACAGCACTATCAGCCTAGCGCCCGTTGTACCCCTTCCTCAACGGGCCCATTTTTCTCGTCTATAATAATAGTTTCGCTGTCTGTCAAGAACGCTCTGTCTGACAAGAACGCTCTAGAGAAAACACAAGCAAAATAAAAACATGCACAGTAATTCGAAAAACGAAATATGACGTCGACACATTTAGCGTAGAGTAGAACATAATCTCAAACCAGAGAGTGCACACAGTAATATGACGTCATTGATTATCGCGTAAACATTGAAAAAAAGGAAATGTTGTCTAATCTAAATGGTTTGCGTAGAAGAGTTTCTTGCATACAATTCTTCGGGTAGGGGCGAAGCCCCACCCCCCGCGTAAGAACGTCTGAGCCCCCCCCCCCCCCTCCCCAACTCAAAAGAAATTTCCTCATCGATACTCTATAATAAAATTACAGCCTAATTAATGTGTCTAATCTAAAAAGTGGTTTTCTTGCAATGGAAGGTAGACATGTTTTTTTTTTGGGAGGGTTGGGGGGGGGGGGGGGGTGGAGGGGTGGGGGGGGGGTGGTGTGTAGGGGTGGGGGGGTGGTGTGTGGGGGGGTGGGTTGGTTTCAGTGTTTCTTTCAGACTTTTTCCTCCCCGGAGAGGGGTGGGGGGTACTTGAAATTTTCGGGGGCGGGGGTAGAATATTCTGGGAGGGGGCGGACACTGGAAAAAGTATATAATTATATTTCGTTGAATGGGACGGTAGACATGTTTTTTTTGGGGGGGTGGGGGGTGGGGGGGCGGTGTGTGGAGGGGGTGGTGTGTGGGGGTGAGGGGTTGGGGTGGGGGTTGTGAGTGGTGGGGGGTGGGGGTGGTGTGTGGGGGTGGGGGGTGGGGTGGGGGGTGTGTGTGGGGGGGTGGGTTGGTTTTTAGTTTAGAGAAAAGAGACAGCACTATCAGCCTAGCGCCCGTTGTACCCTTCCTCAACGGGCCATTTATCTAGTCTGACAAGAACGCTCTGTCTGACAAGAACGCTTTGTCTGACAAGAACGCTCTAGAGAAAACACAAGCAAAATAAAAAACATGCACGAGTAATTCGAAAAACGAAATATGACGTCGACACATTTAGCGTAGAGTAGAACATAATCTCAAACCAGAGAGTGCACACAGTAAAATGACGTCATTGATTATCGCGTAAACATTGAAAAAAAGGAAATGTTGTCTAATCTAAATGGTTTGCGTGAAGAGTTTCTTGCATACAATTCTTCGGGTAGGGGCGAAGCCCCACCCCCCCGCGTAAGAACGTCTGAGCCCCCCCCCCCCCCTCCACAACTCAAAAGAAATTTCCTCATCGATACTCTATAATAAAATTACCACCTAATTAATGTGTCTAATCTAAAAAGTGGTTTCCTTGCAATGGGACGGTAGACATGTTTTTTTTTGGGGGGGGGGGGGGGGGGTGGAGGGGTGGGTGTGGGGGGGGGGTGTGGGGGGGGGGGTTGGGGTGGTGTGTGGGGGGTGGGGGGGTGGGGGTGGTGTGTGGTGTGTGGGTTGGTTTCAGTGTTTCTTTCAGACTTTTCCTCCCCGGAGAGGGGTGGGGGGTACTTGAAATTTTCGGGGCGGGGGGTAGAATTTTCTGGGAGGGGGGCGGACACTGGAAAAAGTATATAATTATATTTCGTTGATGGGACGGTAAGACATGTTTTTTTTGGGGGTGGGGGGTGGTGGAGGGGGTGGGGGGGGGGGGTGGTTGTGGTGTGGGGGGTGGGGGTGGGGGGGGGGGTGGTGGGTGTGTGGGGGGGGTGGGGTGGTGTGTGGGGGGGGGGGTGGGGGTGGGTGTGTGGGGGGGGTGGGTTGGTTTTCAGTGTTTCTTTCAGACTTTTTCCTCCCCGGAGAGGGGTGGGGGTACTTGAAATTTTCGGGGGCGGGGGTAGAATTTTCTGGGAGGGGGCGGACACTGGAAAAAGTATATAATTATATTTCGTTGAATGGGACGGTAGACATGTTTTTTTTGGGGGGGGTGGTGGGGGGTGGGGGGGCGGTGTGTGGAGGGGGGTGGTGTGTGGGGGTGAGGGGTGGGGGTGGGGGTGGTGTGTGGTGGGGGGTGGGGGGTGGTGTGTGGGGTTGAGGGGTTGGGTTGGGGGTGGTGTGTGGTGGGGGGTGGGGTGGGGGTGGTGTGTGGGGGTGGGGGGGGGTGGGGGGGGTGGGGGTGGGGGTGGTGTGTGGGGGGGGTGGGTTGGTTTTAGTTTAGAGAAAAGAGACAGCACTATCAGCCTAGCGCCCGTTGTACCCTTCCTCAACGGGCCATTTTTTCTCGTTTAAAGATGTTAACACAGAATGAACGCAAGTAAGTTAAATTGTAACATGATGTAACATTTTTCCACGATATATGACCAAATGGAATTTTATTAGTCAGAGGCGTAGCGAGGGGGGGGGGCGGGGGGGGGGGGGGGGGGTGCGGACCGCACCGGGTGACACCATTTTGGGGGGGTGACACCAAGGCAAAAAAAAGCAAAATATATAGAGAAAAACCTGAGGGTGGGGGGGGTGCAAATCGAAAACTTGAGGGGGGGTGGGGGTGCAAATCGAAAGTTTGAAAGTTTGTCCACGGGAAGGGTCGCTACGCCTGTGGGGGGGTGACACCATTTAGTGCCGCACCGGGTGTCACCCGACCTCGCTACGCCACTGATATTAGTATTTGCGCAGTTTTCGGGAGCGAATTTTTCTGGGACCAGTTTTGCATATTCTCTTGTTAATCAACATATCTAGGCAATCGAGAAAGGGAGATAATTCAATCATTCTTGAACGTATTTTAAAGACATACGCAGCGGTTTTCTTGAAGGAAGAGTACAATTTTAGCCAAACCATAGTCAATCACAGGCACTGTCCAGAATCTTGTTGGCATTTTAAATAGAAGGAACGTTGGAGGTGGCCTCTCATAAATAGGTTTTACCTTTTCAGCCGCCCTCTGATAGAAAGAAGCTACTTTTGTTTTCCATGTGTGAGGAAGGTTTTAAACGGAGAACAACAGCAAACTACATTTTTGAAAAAAAAAATATCCTTTGACCCTTTAACTATAATAACTATCCTTACCAGACAATTAGAGGAAATAAAATCCACTGCAAATCCTGTCTCAATGACCAGGTCCATGCTTTGAGGTATGACCCCTCTTGTGCCAGGAACCATCAAATCTAACAATGATGTCCAGTTGTTTACCCACGTCTGCGCCATACAGTTTTTTTGACTGCACCTACAGCTTCAACTTTTACATCACAGAAATCTACATTTCTCTTGTATATGGCATTGAGATGGGCCATGTAGTTCTAGTTTTCCTCCATCCCCATCACCTCACAGAACGCTTCCATGCCAACATGTCCAAGACCTTTGTTCAGAAAAAATGCCACCAGCCACCTATTTACATCATGTTTGTTATCTGCGAGAAGGCTTTTATTATTTTATTATTATTATTTGCTTTGAGATTCAACACATACCATTTAAATATCTGAGCTAAGCTTACAATAGTTACTTTATTGATTTCATTGAATAAAACAAAAAGAAGATAACATGGCTTGAAACTTTATCGATCTGGTTTATTCTGATTGTTTGATGATAATTATTAATAAATGTATAAATAAATAATGAAACACGATTCTCAATAATAAAAAAAAACTCTGTATATTTCAACAACAACAAATTAAAGGAATGCAATACGGTAAAAAATACATTGTTACATACAACATTTGTCATTATGAAAAAAAAGCTTAGCATTATATTTATTTTGTAGGCTACGTTCAATAAACATCTTTTCAGTTCTCTCCCCCCCCCCCCCCACCTTCATTCTTTTTATAGATTTCTGAGTTGGATCTTCCAATTCAAACTATATTTTTTTCTTTCCTAATTTTGCAGTTGTAGGTTCTTAAGAGGCCTTTAAGGTTACATTTTTAAAAAAATCTGTGAAATATACTCCCTTATATTATATAAATCTGCTTCAATTACTTATCAAACCAAATAGTTAAAAAAAAAATAAAACAGAAGCAATGTTTAAATGGAAGCTAATGTTAGATTTAATCAAATTAAAAAAAAATATTGATTTGCAGTAAATTATTAGAAAAAGGATAAACATTGAAAACAAGAAGTTAGACTTTCAAACAGAGTTTCTTCTAGGCATGCCCCCCCCCCCCTCCCCCACCCCGAAAAAAGTCTGGAAGAAACACTGCTATCAAAATCTCATCTCATAAAATATTTTAACAAATGTTTATTTTGATATAGATAAAGAAATATTAAGGCCAACTGAAAACAGCAACAGAAAACTGCGCAAAGAGAAAATGCACAAATACAAATACTACACCTTAACAATGTACAAGTGGTCATTCTTTGCTTATGTCTACAAATGCCCCATTTAAAAAAAACAAAAATGCCCTGGTTCACTTTTTGTGAGCAGTTTTCATTTGCCCATTTCTCCGGTAACCACAAAATATATTATTAGTAAATACAACAAGTTTAGGGAGTCAAGCGTCATGTTCCTTAAATAACAAATTATGAGCATATCATCTCAGGAATTTACACAGAAAAAAAACACCACAAAATCAGTCTACAGTATGTATATTAGCTGTTTTTCAAGACTCAACACTTAGAAGCCAGAATTTGAATTGAAAAAAAAAAAAATGTAGCAGTAAAAAATTGTTACTTCAATGCAACAAGACAAAGAGTTAAGTTCTCTTCTTGAAAGAACTGTTTCTCTCAACTGTCATATTAGCTTATCACAGCAACACAATGTCAATAAGGCTGTTTGCCACTTATAATCTCTCATTTAAAAAAAATATTAAATAAAATCTCAACATTGGTTATCAATAGTATAAAAAAAATAACAATCACACCTGGGAATATTTTGTTCACTGTCTACAGGTCAGCGTGATCTTGGTGCGCAGGTGAGACGCCTGCCTGCTCAGAGTTCCTGATCAAGTGGTAGTAAAAGTTGATCACCTGCTCGTAATTCTTCACGGAGAGGCGTTCGTTGATGCCATGGAAACGCTGGGGGTCACCAGGTAACATATACGTGGGTGAGAAACGGTATACGTTGGTGGTGAAGTTCAGGTAAAAGCGGGTGTCTGTGTTGCCCATCATAATCCCTGAAAGTTGTTTACGTACACATTGAGCTAATCGTGTTTTAAAAGACAATTTTTTTAGCTATTGTATGACATAAACTAAAACAGAAAAATAATTGTTGTAGTATACGTATTGCCCATCATAATGCCTGAAAGTTTTTTACGTACATAGTGAGCTAATCAAGTTTTAAAAAACAATTTTTTTAGCTATTGTATGACATAAACTAAAACAGAAAATTAATTGTTTGAGTATATGTGTTGCCAAACATAATCCCTGAAAATTGTTTACGTACACATTTAGCAAATTGTCTTTTTAAAAAACTATTCTATAACATAAACTAAAACAGAAAAATACTAAGTATACATATGTGTTTGTTTACATATTTCTTCCATATCTTAGAATACAATTTTTAATTTATTTCAAAACATTAGCTAAATCAGAAGTCTACCTCTAGTTTACGGGTTGTGATGTATTTTTTTTTTCATAATATTGTTTTCAATGAACATGTAACATTTGTCATTCAAACAAAACATTGCCATAGATATGAAATGTTTTTAAAAAAATTGGTGGACCTACCTGGTACAACAACAGCCTGAGGCCACACCTGTCTAATGCTGGTTTTCAAAACCTTTCAAAATTGAATAAATGTAGAACACAATTCAAATATTTGTATACATTAAAAAGTATTAAAACAATTTTCTTCTATAAATATAATTCAGGTAAAGCTTATATTTTCTACCAATTGCACATTCGTAACATGGGCTTCAAACATAATTGATACAATAAAATATGGTAGTTATTGAAGTAGCTGGGATTAAATTTATCGTAGCCTACATTCAATGGTCTGGTCTTATTTAGACAGTCTGAAATTCTATTAAAAAAGGTACTACCAATGAGGGTATAAGGATTCTTTTATTCTAGCCTACATTCAATGGTCTAGTTTTATTTAGAAAGTTTAAAATTCTATTAAAAATGTACTACCAATGAAGGTATAAAAATTGTTTTATTTTAGCCTACATTCATTGGACTGGTCTTATTTAGCCAGTCTAAAATTCTATTAAAAATGTACTACCAATGAAGGTATAAAAATTGTTTTATCTTAGCCTACATTCAATGGCCTGGTCTTATTTAGACAGTCTAAACCTCCATCCACACTATATAAACCTCATTTTACACTGTATAAACCTACATTCACACTGTATAAACCTACATTCACACTGTATAAACCTACATTCACACTGTATAAACCTCCATCCACACTGTATAAACCTCCACCCACACTGTATAAACCTCCACCCACACTGTATAAACCTCCATCCACACTGTATAAACCTCCACCCACACTGTATAAACCTCCACCCACACTGTATAAACCTCCACCCACACTGTATAAACCTCCACCCACACTGTATAAACTTCCACCAACACTGTATAAACCTCCACCCACACTGTATTAAACCTCCATCCACACTGTATAAACCTCCATCCACACTGTATAAACCTCCACCCACACTGTATAAACCCCCACCCACACTGTATAAACCTCCACCCACACTGTATAAACCTCCACCCACACTGTATAAACCTCCACCCACACTGTATAAACCTCCACCCACTGTATAAACCTCCACCCACACTGTATAAACCTCCACCCACACTGTATAAACCTCCATCCACACTGTATAAACCTCCACCCACACTGTATAAACCTCCACCCACACGGTATAAACCTCCACCCACACTGTATAAACCTCCACCCACACTGTATAAACCTCCACCCACACTGTATAAACCTCCCCCCACTGTATAAACCTCCACCCACACTGTATAAACCTCCATCCACACTGTATAAACCTCCACCCACACTGTATAAACCTCCACCCACACTGTATAAACCTCCACCCACACTGTATAAACCTCCACCCACACTGTATAAACCTCCACCCACACTGTATAAACCTCCATCCACACTGTATAAACCTCCACCCACACTGTATAAACCTCCACATACACTGTATAAACCTCCACCCACACTGTATAAACCTCCACCCACACTGTATAAACCTCCATCCACACTGTATAAACCTCCACCCACACTGTATAAACCTCCACCCACACTGTATAAACCTCCACCCACACTGTATAAACCTCCACCCACTGTATAAACCTCCACCCACACTGTATAAACCTCCACCCACACTGTATAAACCTCCATCCACACTGTATAAACCTCCACCCACACTGTATAAACCTCCACCCACACGGTATAAACCTCCACCCACACTGTATAAACCTCCACCCACACTGTATAAACCTCCACCCACACTGTATAAACCTCCACCCACTGTATAAACCTCCACCCACACTGTATAAACCTCCATCCACACTGTATAAACCTCCACCCACACTGTATAAACCTCCACCCACACTGTATAAACCTCCACCCACACTGTATAAACCTCCACCCACACTGTATAAACCTCCACCCACACTGTATAAACCTCCATCCACACTGTATAAACCTCCACCCACACTGTATAAACCTCCACATACACTGTATAAACCTCCACCCACACTGTATAAACCTCCACCCACACTGTATAAACCTCCATCCACACTGTATAAACCTCCACCCACACTGTATAAACCTCCACCCACACTGTATAAACCTCCACCCACACTGTATAAACCTCCACCCACACTGTATAAACCTCCACCCACACTGTATAAACCTCCACCCACTGTATAAACCTCCACCCACACTGTATAAACCTCCATCCACACTGTATAAACCTCCACCCACACTGTATAAACCTCCACCCACACTGTATAAACCTCCACCCACACTGTATAAACCTCCACCCACACTGTATAAACTTCCACCAACACTGTATAAACCTCCACCCACACTGTATTAAACCTCCATCCACACTGTATAAACCTCCATCCACACTGTATAAACCTCCACCCACACGGTATAAACCTCCACCCACACTGTATAAACCTCCATCCACACTGAATAAACCTCCACCCACTGTATAAACCTCCACCCACACGGTATAAACCTCCACCCACTGTATAAACCCCCACCCACACTGTATAAACCTCCACCCACACTGTATAAACCTCCACCAACTGTATAAACCTCCACCCACACTGTATAAACCTCCACCCACACTGTATAAACCTCCATCCACACTGTATAAACCTCCACCCACACTGTATAAACCTCCACCCACACGGTATAAACCTCCACCCACACTGTATAAACCTCCACCCACACTGTATAAACCTCCACCCACACTGTATAAACCTCCACCCACACTGTATAAACCTCCACCCACACTGTATAAACCTCTACCAACTGTATAAACCTCCACCCACACTGTATAAACCTCCACCCACACTGTATAAACCTCCATCCACACTGTATAAACCTCCACCCACACTGTATAAACCTCCACCCACACGGTATAAACCTCCACCCACACTGTATAAACCTCCACCCACACTGTATAAACCTCCACCCACACTGTATAAACCTCCACCCACACTGTATAAACCTCCACCCAAACTGTATAAACCTCCACCCACACTGTATAAACCTCCACCCACACTATATAAACCTCCACCCAAACTGTATAAACCTCCACCCACTGTATAAACCTCCACCCACACTGTATAAACCTCCAACCACACTGTATAAACCTCCATCCACACTGTATAAACCTCCATCCACACTGTATAAACCTCCACTCACACTGTATAAACCTCCACTCACACTGCATAAACCACCCACACTGTATAAACCTCCATCCACACATCTAAACCTCCACCCACACTGTATAAACCTCCATCCACACTGTATAAACCTCCATCCACACTGTATAAACCTCCACTCACACTGCATAAACCACCCAAACTGTATAAACCTCCACCCACTGTATAAACCTCCACCCACACTGTATAAACCTCCAACCACACTGTATAAACCTCCATCCACACTGTATAAACCTCCACTCACACTGTATAAACCTCCACTCACACTGCATAAACCAACCACACTGTATAAACCTCCACCCACACTGTATAAACCTCCATCCACACATCTAAACCTCCACCCACACTGTATAAACCTCCATCCACACTGTATAAACCTCCATCCACACTGTATAAACCTCCACTCACACTGTATAAACCTCCACTCACACTGCATAAACCACCCAAACTGTATAAACCTCCACCCACTGTATAAACCTCCACCCACACTGTATAAACCTCCAACCACACTGTATAAACCTCCATCCACACTGTATAAACCTCCATCCACACTGTATAAACCTCCACCCACACTGTATAAACCTCCACTCACACTGCATAAACCACCCACACTGTATAAACCTCCATCCACACATCTAAACCTCCACCCACACATCTAAACCTCCACCCACACTGTATAAACCTCCACCCACACATCTAAACCTCCATCCACACTGTATAAACCTCCATCCACACTGTATAAACCTCCACCCACACTGTATAAACCTCCACCCACACATCTAAACCTCCACCCACACTGTATAAACCTCCATCCACACTGTATAAACCTCCACCCACACTGTATAAACCTCCACCCACACTGTATAAACCTCCACCCACACTGTATAAACCTCCATCCACACTGTATAAACCTCCACCCACACTGTATAAACCCCCACCCACACTGTATAAACCTCCATCCACACTGTATAAACCTCCACCCACACTGTATAAACCTCCACCCACACTGTATAAACCTCCACCCACACTGTATAAACCTCCACCCACACTGTATAAACCTCCACCCACACTGTATAAACCTCCACCCACACTGTATAAACCTCCACCCACACTGTATAAACCTCCATCCACACTGTATAAACCTCCAACCACACTGTATAAACCTCCATCCACACTGTATAAACCTCCATCCACACTGTATAAACCTCCATCCACTGTATAAACCTCCATCCACACTGTATAAACCACCACCCACACTGTATAAACCTCCATCCACACTGTATAAACCTCCACCCACACTGTATAAACCTCCATCCACACTGTATAAACCTCCACCCACACTGTATAAACCTCCACCCACACTGTATAAACCTCCACCCACTGTATAAACCTCCACCCACACTGTATAAACCTCCATCCACACTGTATAAACCTCCACCCACACTGTATAACAACTGACAGTCTAAACACTGACTCACCTGATAGCCAAAATCTGTATCAGAATACCCTGCCACTGGGTGGGGTTCGAATCCACTCAAAACTTCTATTTTCACCCGACTGTCAGCTATAACTGCCCTATCGTAATCCACCACCTGATTCCAAAAATAACAAACACAACATGGCAAGGAATTCAATAGCATAATAAAATAATATTTTATCTACAGAAAAACTATGAAGGGTTTAACAATGATAAAATTGCTGTACCTAACCAATATGAACACGTACAATTTTTTTTACAGTCTTTAAAAAAATGAGTACACATACATATAGGAGTTGTATGTTAAAAGGAAAGAAAATCTTCCCCACCTCCTGAACAGTCTGTGATGGATGTATCCGATGATTGACAACAGCTTCAGCGAGGGGCGGGATGATGTTGTTCTAGGGTTAATGGAAGAGAAATATTGAACATAGTTACAGAAAAAATAATGTGTGTTCTTCGTTACTATTGGAATTACATAGATCACTAGAACATTTCAAATATTTTTTATACATGCTAATTATAAAAAGTAGATTGATAAGCAAGTACATATTCTAAAAATATTTTCAATAAGTAAATTAGAATTTTAAAAAATGATCATCAAGTTAACCATTTACAAATATTTTCAATACAGGTTAATTAGGAAAAAGGTTGATTATCAATAAAGCATTCTAGAAATATATAAAAAAAATGAGTAATAAATGTTTTCACCTTGACCCCTGCATTAAACATAGTGACAGCAGTGACAGTGCGGATCATAGCATTAGTTGTTGGTTTAGTGGACATGAACCTAAGGATCAAAGCATTGGTTGTTGGTTTAGTGGACATGAACCTAAGGATCAAAGCATTGGTTGTTGGTTTAGTGGACATGAACCTAAGGATCAAAGCATTGGTTGTTGGTTTAGTGGACATGAACCTAAGGATCAAAGCATTGGTTGTTGGTTTAGTGGACATGAACCTAAGGATCAAAGCATTGGTTGTTGGTTTAGTGGACATGAACCTAAGGATCAAAGCATTGGTTGTTGGTTAAGTGGACATGAACCTAAGGATCAAAGCATTGGTTGTTGGTTTAGTGGACATGAACCTAAGGATCAAAGCATTGGTTGTTGGTTTAGTGGACATGAACCTAAGGATCAAAGCATTGGTTGTTGGTTTAGTGGACATGAACCTAAGGATCAAAGCATTGGTTGTTGGTTTAGTGGACATGAACCTAAGGATCAAAGCATTGGTTGTTGGTTTAGTGGACATGAACCTAAGGATCAAAGCATTGGTTGTTGGTTTAGTGGACATGAACCTAAATCATTGTGTTTTTAGAAGTTTTAATAACAGGTAGTCATGAACCTAAATCAATGTTTTTAGAATAGTTTATTACAGGTAGTCATGAACCTAAATCAATGTTTTTAGAATAGTTTATTACAGGTAGACATGAACCTAAATCAATATGTTTTTAGAATAGTTAATTATAGGTAGACATGAACCTAAATCAATGTTTTTAGAATAGTTTATTACAGGTAGACATGAACCTAAATCAATGTTTTTAGAATAGTTAATTACAGGTAGTCATGAACCTAAATCAATGTTTTTAGAATAGTTTATTACAGGTAGACATGAACCTAAATCAATATGTTTTTAGAATAGTTAATTATAGGTAGACATGAACCTAAATCAATGTTTTTAGAATAGTTTATTACAGGTAGACATGAACCTAAATCAATATGTTTTTAGAATAATTTATTACAGTTAGTCATGAAGTTAAAACTTCTTTTAGAATAAATTATTACAGGTAGACATGAACCTAAACTTTATAAATTTAGAAAGTTTTAGTACAGGTTGACATGAAACTAAATTAATTTTTTTAAAGAATAATTTGTTATAGGTAGACATTAGAATAATTTATTCCGATGTTAAATAACAAAGTCAAATTATGTCTACCCAGCTCTGATGGGTACTTAACTGACACTGGGGAAAGTAAAGGCGGCTGGACGCACTGCTAACCACACTATCCCTTCATATGCCTATGTAACAGAAACAGGTGAACTCTACTTCACTTGCCCTATGTTCCATCAGGTTTGAAATGGAACATTACTTTATCTAAAAGCTAACAAGAATTTGAACTTCCCTCAATACAAAATGATTGTTTTGTACAAATTATTTTCCTCGCAAACTTAATTTGTTTTATCTTGTGGCATACATTTCTGCATTGGTACACCAGCTAAACTGAGCTGTTATTATTAAAAAGAACAATTAAAATATTTGAAAATGTAATAAAGGGGAGGCAATCATACCATGAAATGAGGGGTCTAAATAACCAAATGTTTGCAAAGATCATTCTCTGTGCTATGTTCATCTGTAAGAAAATAAATTTTATAAGCAAGTCAATGCAATCTTTCTATAATTCTGCTTAGTTGCCTATTATTATTCCCATTATAACTAATTATGTTTAAAATTTTTTTTTTACCAAATACAGACTTAAGTGAAAACCCAATTAAAGGGACTTAAGTATCTTTCAAATTACAAAATATTTTTCATCTTTTTTAAGTAAAGTCATACATTTTAACAACACAATAATTTTAATAACACATATTAAATAAACAGTGCACCGATGTGAAATAAAAAAAGTAATCAACTTTAATAATACAATAATTTTAATAATACATATTTAAAGAAACAGCACACCAGTGTTAAACAAAAAAAGTAATAAATTTTAATAAAACAATAATTTTGATATCTGACAATTAAATAACACGAAGTGATAATTGGCCATTGATAATGTTGTCTCTTTTCTTTAAACTAAAATGAAAACCAAAATCACCACCTTAACTTCAAATTGATTGAAGTCGAAACATTACATTGAAAACGGAGTTTAATCCAGAATCGGCATTTTAATCAGATTTAAGCTTAATCTACACATAGTTACTGCACATTGATACTAAATATAGTCGTAGCCATACCCCTAAACCTTGTACCTAATCTAAATCATGACACAAGTTGCATTTAGAGTTTCCTTCTGGTGACTACTTGCGGGTAGGGGGCTCCGCCCTGCCCCCACCACCCCCAAAGCACGGTCTACCGTCCAATTCAACGAAATATAATTATATACTTTTTCCAGTATTCGCCCCCTCCCAGAAAATTCCACCCCTGCCCTCGAGAATTTCAAGTAACCCCCTCTCCGGGGAGGAACAAGTCTGAAAGAAACACAGGCGTATTAGTAGGTCATACAAACTAAAGGTAGAGTCTGGGAGAGGCTTCGCCCCTATCCGAAGAGATGCATGAAAGAAACTGTGCATGCAAAACACTTTTTAGAATAGAAAATTTCAAGTACCCTCCCTCCGGGAAGGAAAAAGTCTGAAAGAAACACTGGCCGCACTTGCTAACGTTCTTACGGGGGGATGGGGCTTCGCCTCGACCCGAAGAATTGCATGAAAGAAACTTTTTACGCAAACCTCTTTTAAGATTAGACAAAATTTGCTTTTTAATTAAATTGTTTACTCGAGAATCAATGACGTCATATTATTGTGTGCACTCCCCTGGCTTTAGACTATTTCCTACTATATGCTCAATGTGACGTCAAGTTTCGTTTTCGTTTTACTATGAAAGTTTTTATTTTGCTTGTGTTTTCTCTACAGTGTTCTTGTCAGATAGATACACAGACAGCGAAACTATTATGTTCAATAAGCTACGCCTGCTGTTTAGTTGTTTTATTTTCTATTTTTTCAGTGATTCATAATTTGTGAATTCGACTCTACCAATGCTGCAACTGAAAATATTTTGCTGTAAAACACTTTCACTAGGTCGTGAAGGAAGTTTAAAAAATAAATTATCTGCCCCTAATAGCCATCACTAATTTGACCCGGCTCTACGATTGTAAGTATTTGGCGTGAACCACAGCTCACCAGACTGGTGGGGGTGGTAGCGATATACTTAGAGAGCAAGGGAGGGGTAGCACGGCTCGCATACATGGTGGTGTTGACAACCCACAACACAACCCACACTGGATTCGGACAATTCTCTAAAAATTAACAGTGAAAAAAAACCTCAGATACTTGACAGGGTAATGTGCCATGTAAAAAGCATAATGAGAGAAATATAAAACTGCTAAACCCAACTGAAGCAAATGTGTATCGTCTTGTATTGTCATTTTTGTTTTTAATAACAAATGAGACTTCATATAATCCTAAACAGGCTTCATAAAATGAAACAAGTAACACTTTATTTCTTTGTGTTTTTGAATGGATGACAACATGCATTGGTATAGAAAAAAAAACTTTACCTCAGGTGCCAGCTGCTCCATCATATCTTTTTCAACCCCATATCCCATCATGCTGGGGTGAGGGGTGGACTCCAGTCTGAAAGGTAATCATTGTATCACACACCCATAACTATCATAATGAAGTCACCTACAAGTGAGAGTAAAGACCTACCTACCAGAAAGGAAATATTTGTATCACACACCCATAACTATCAGAATGAAGTCACTTATTAGTGAGAGTATAGACCTACCTATCAGAAAGGAAATATTTGTATCACACACCCATAACTATCATAATGAAGTCACCTACAAGTGAGAGTAAAGACCTACCTATCAGAAAAGAAATATTTGTATCACACACCCATAACTATCAGAATGAAGTCACTTATTAGTGAGAGTATAGACCTACCTATCAGAAAGGTAATCATTTGTATCACACACCCATAACAATCATAATGAAGTCACCTATAAGTGAGAGTAGAGACCTACCCAACAGAATTTAAGCCCACATTGTAATGTATGTTGAGGCCTACCCATCAAATTTGTTTAGGACTACATGTCGATGAACGATGAAAGTTTTAACCAACCCACCAATAAACGTTGAAGGCTACCAGTCAATGAAAATTGAGGCCTACTTATCAATGAGATTAAAGCCTACAATGTACTGTAAATTGTGACCTACCTATCAATAAAACGAGGCCTACATTGTAATGTAGCCTACCTATCAATGTAAGCTGTGGCCTACCTATCAATGTAAGCTGTGGCCTACCTATCAATGTAAGCTGTGGCCTACCTATCAATGTAAGCTGTGGCCTACCTATCAATGTAAGCTGTGACCTACCTATCAATGTAAGCTGTGACCTACCTATCAATGTAAGCTGTGACCTTGTGACCTACCTATCAATGTAAGTTGTGACCTTGTGACCTACCTATCAATGTAAGCTGTGGCCTACCTATCAATGTAAGCTGTGACCTTGTGACCTACCTATCAATGTAAGTTGTGACCTTGTGACCTACCTATCAATGTAAGTTGTGACCTACCTATCAATGTAAGTTGTGACCTACATATCAATGTAAGCTGTGACCTTATGACCTACATATCAATGTAAGCTGTGACCTTGTGACCTACATATCAATGTAAGCTGTGACCTTGTGACCTACATATCAATGTAAGCTGTGACCGTGTGACCTACCTATCAACCTAAGTTGTGACCTACTATGACCTTGTGACCTACCTATCCATGTAAGTTGTGACCTACCTATCAACCTAAGTTGTGACCTACTATGACCTTGTGACCTACCTATCGATGTAAGTTGTGACCTACCTATCGATGCAGGTTGTGACCTACCTATCAATACAAGTTGTGACCTACCTATCAATACAAGTTGTGACCTACCTATCATTGTAAGCTGTGACCTACCTATCAATGTAAGTTGTGACCTACCCATCATTGTAAGTTGTGACCTACCTATCAATACAAGTTGTGACCTTGTGACCTACCTATCAATGTAAGTTGTGACCTACCTGTCAATGCAGGTTGTGACTTACCTGTCCACAGCTCTGGCCAGTATCCCAATAGTTGACTCTTTGGGTGGCATTGAAGAGTGACCTGGGGCGTCTTCAACTGACAGTTTGAGAATCACTTGACCCTTCTCACTTACACCTAAACTACATTACAAAATAACAAAGGTATCAGAATACTAAAACATTAAACAATAAACACTTTAATACAGATAGGTCACTGACATTAACAAGCAAGGACATATTTCCCGCAATTCAAGGAATTTGCAAAGAGAAATATAAAAAAATATTAGTCGGGTTTTTAAAATATATCTTTCTTAAAAATATTTCGGCTGAATTTTTTTTTTAAATAGAAAATTTTTTTATCATACGTATTTAACAAACACATTATTTTTGTTCTTCTAGCACACAGACTTTCTACTTTAACACATGCATTAAACATCACTATCTTATTTATATATTCAATTAAATATGTTTTTTCTGATGCTATTTATAATAGTCCTACTCATAAAAATTTTTTTTTTTAATTATGCTAAAACAGATTAAAATTATATTTTTCTATAAGCATGTGTCTCTCAGTACAAAATTTATTTATCCTGTGATAAAAATATGGTGAATTTGTATAAAAGTGATATAAAATAATCAAGTTTATATAAAGACAAATATTTTAACAACACTGGACACGATCTTAAAAATATATAATCATCATCCCATCAAGAGTCCAACTGATATGCTACCATTAGAAATATAAGACTAATTAGCTATTAACGACTAGCCTGGCCACCGGCTTCTTGACTCCTGGCACCAGTCCTTCAGTCACAGGCAGGCCTTCGTCAGATACAAATTCTAGTTCAGAAATACCCTTCTCTTTTAATCTATTTGCAAGCATTTGGGCGCCATCCATACCATGGACCTAATTGATAAAAGTAAACACACAATTCATTTTAGCTTTGTCAGTTCTAGTTAATACAGGCCTAGTTAATAAAAGTTAACATGCAATCTATGTAAATGTTATAAACATTTGTGGTTTATAACAAAATAATGATGGATAAATAAAAAAAACCCACTAAAATTTAAAAAAAATTAGAAATGTAGGCTTACAAGGTTCAAGATTATAGATGATGAATTAATTTAAACATAATAATCTAATAGTTTTGAAATAATAATCTATTATTTTTAAAAACAGGTTTATCTTTACTTATTCTTGCCTTTTTTCTCTTAGAAGCATTTGTACGTTGCTAAACTAGAAATCTCCTATATTTTCTTCACTGCCCACCATGTCTCTCCCACCACTGCACTTCATCCTGTCAGTTCTATGTTATCTCTCTAAATCTACCCCAAATACTCAAAATGTTCATCAAATATGTTGTAAAAAAGAAGAAATATACATAACTAGCCTCTCACACTTGATACAGACTCACCTCTTCATCATGGCCAAAGGCGACATAAAATGATCTTACAGGCTTGATATTCTTGGACAGCAAGTATTCTACTGCTTCTAAAATTCCCTAAATGAAGTAAAAGTAAAAAAACTCTTAAAATTCTTTCTTTTCATACACTTACATAGTATTGAAAATATATAATCAATTTCGATTCTTATCAAGGAGTCTCATCCACATACTCTTAAAACTGGTACTGCTAAAATTTTAAATTATAGATATACTAACAATATAATATTTTATTAAATAATATATTTTAACTATATTTGTTGTAGCTATGATTAAGCTAAGGGCTAGGGTTGAGGTAGGCCTATTTCTTCATTGCTTCTTTAACTGAAATAAATAATTTTCAATATTTAAATTTACAAACTACTAATACTACTACATATGACGGATTTCCCTTTCTTTTATTAAACATGCATAAAATCATCTAGAATGTGTTTCAAGTAAAACAATGCTCATTTTTTTAACAACTTGAATAATTTGTTCTGAACTAAAGTATAAATCCTACCATTACACACTGTTTCACATCCAGAGCTCCACGTCCATAAATAAATCCATCCACCACATCTCCTGAAAAGGGGGGAGCATCCCATTCTTCAATGTTGGTGGCTGGCACTACATCCAAATGGCTCATAAGAAGAAATGGTTTTAAGCCAGGGTTGCTGCCCTTGATGCTGTACAACAAGCTGTAGTTGTTTACAACTTCCCACTCCACCAGCGGTGAGCTGTGCAATCTTGGGAACTCTTGGAGAATAGGAAACAAGAAATGTTTCACAATATTGTAGGCCTACTACTATCTATACCCTAATGGTAACTATAAAACAAAAAGGAGAATAAGAAATATTTCACAATATTGTAGGCCTACTACTATCTGTACCCTAATGGTAACTCTAAAACAAAAGGAGAATAAGAAATATTTCACAATATTGTAGGCCTACTACTATCTATACCCTAATGGTAACTCTAAAACAAAAGGAGAATAAGAAATATTTCACAATATTGTAGGCCTACTACTATCTGTACCCTAATGTTAACTCTAAAACAAAAAGGCAAATAAATATTTCACAATATTGTAGGCCTACAATTATCTATTATCTATACCCTAATGGTAACTCTAAAACACAAAGGCAAATAAATACTCCACAATATTGTAGGCCTACTATTATCTATACCCTAATGGTAACTCTAAAACAAAAAGGCAAATAAATATTTTACAATATTGTAGGCCTACTACTATCTACACCCTAATGGTAACTCTAAAACAAAAAGGCAAATAAAAAATATTTCACAATATTGCATTTTTATCTACACCCTTAATAGGAACTCAGGACTCTAACAAGCCTTTAATAAATATTATTTTAAAAAGCGCAAACAAAATAATGAGGTTAATTAATTAATACTATCTGAAGAAAGTAGTCAAGGCTATTGTTTTTGCTAGCTCATACATAACAACATTGCACTACTCAGGGCTTGGGAATAATAAAGACTTTTGTTATGATTTATAACTAGGGAGTAGAGGGTTAATTAAGACAGTATGACATTCTTTTATATTATTAATAGAAAACATATTTCATTAGAATTACAGTTGTTTCAGGGGACAGTTGGAGAGACTAGCCCAGGACAGAGATGCCTTGAAAGCTCATTGTCAGCTGCCTACATCCCAGGAGGGGTGACAGGCTAACTTATCCTATTATAGTTGTGAGGGTTCATAGGTTTGATTGAAGTTATTGTAGGGAGGTGATATCATTGATGGGCAACACAGCACCTCAAAGTTTTAGTAGTCCATGATACCAGCAAAAAAAAAAAGAACACTTAAAAAGTCAACACAATGCAATACTGGATGCATATTGCATTGAATTGTTTAGGCACGGTTTTATTTTTGTTAAATAAGAAATGTATAATGGACAAGATACGATCAAGCTTACTAACTTTCAACAATAAAATTTTTAAACTTTTCCAGTTCTTCCCTGTCATAATCGCCGACATCTTTGCTTACAGTTTTGATGCTCAAGGCTCTCTGAAACCTGCTCAACATAACATCACTTAACGGAATGAAATCAGAATCTGTAGCCTTACATTCTTGAACCGGTGGACTTGTGCGTGAAAAATGGACAGTTCTGACAGTTAGTACAATAAACAGGATGACCAATCCAGACAAGAAAACAAACTTTATCATGGTCGTTGTTGATGGGATGGTGGTGATGGTGAAAGTCAAGAATTCCCTTCTTGTTTTCTGCCCTGCTCACACTATCTTGTCTAACAGTCTGATGATTAATGTCTGGTGAATCGAAGAGCTGAAATAAATAAAAAATTAAAAAACAAGATTAATCTTACAATCTAGATTTAGAAATCTAGATCAAGATTAGATCATTAATCATTGCTCATTAGACTGGACTGAGTTAGAGGACCAGGTCTACAAGTGAAATTCATGAAATTGGACAGAACTATGACTAGATCTATTTTCTTAAACTACACTTACTTACTATTTAACTATACTTATTAAATACTATTACTATTACTAAGACACTAAGTTGACTAAGTCTAAATATTTATTATTTAAATAAAATAGTAAATTATAGTAGGCTAACTAGGCCTAACTAGTAATAAATATATAGTATATAATTTATATAGTATATATAGTATAGGGCTATATTAACTATATTATAGTAGCTTATATACTATATACGATATAGTAAAAATAGACGGCAATCTATCGTTTTAGGTACGTAAAATCGCCCACGGCTAGTAATGTACAAAAAAGTTACCTCATTGTCAAGGCTTTAATAGAAGTATATTCACTATATTGTGATATATTTGTGTCAAATATTATAGATAAATGAATAATAAACCTAAATCAATGGCTAAATATATCAATACAGGCAAGAGAAGAAATTATCTTTAAACAGCAGTGTTTGCGAGCAGAATTTGCTATATTAAAAGCGGCCATCTGTAAGTTAGAGTGGCTTCCCCTGAATCTTGCGCTATAAGTTTACAATAAAAAAAATAAACAAGATGGCTGCTATAGTAAATGAGCATGGTTGCATCTGTTGGAAACATCGCTATTCTTCATTTATTACTGAAAAGTTTAAATTCAATTGTTTGAAAACATTTACATAAATGAAATAAGGAAACATTTTTGTATTTTTCAAAACATAAATCCTCCTCAAAATGTGAAATAATTATTAAGATTTGAGGAGTCACCTGTTTTTCACATTACTAGTCGCGGGCGATTTTGCGTACCTAAAACGATAGATTACCAAATAGAATTATTAGTAATTTAATTTATAGATTCAATATAGAAAATTTAGGCCTAATAGTAAATAGATCTAGATCTAGTACTAAATAGTAGTAGAGTCTAGATACAGGCGTCACACTCACAGGCCTATGCCAAGCCATGTATTCATTCAAATTCAATGTATTGAATTGTATTGGCATGTATGCCCTGCCCTATGCCCTAAGATATAGGCCTAGTCTATAGGGATGATCTAGTGGATTTTAAAAACTAATAATATAAATGAATGATTCTAGATTCTATTTTAAGAATAATTTTTAAAAACTTCCTCCTTACTTAAAACAACACCAACTCACTAACCTAACCAGAGCTCTTGTTTTGACGTTTTGTACACAGCATCTGCAAGGTAGGAAAGGGCAGAGTTCAATATGAGGTCAAAAGTCATACTGCGACCAGTTAAAAATGTACAAAGACGTCGTTTTAAAAAGAAAACTAGATCTACCACAACCTAAACTTATGATTACATATTCTTAACTTCTGTGTTGTTGTGTTTTTTTTTTTTTGCTGCTATTTTGATGACAGAAAACCTTTATTTGCTTCTCTTTGGATATCCTCTCTTTTTTTTTTTTTTTTTTGCGGCTGTAAGTTTTTTAGTCTATATAAGTATTATAAGGGAAATAAGAAAGGGAATGTTTGTATTTATGGATTCCCTTGTTATGTACCTTGACACTTCATATAAAAAAAAAACCTGCACAAACATTTTAATTTTAATGACACTTAGTAGCAGAGGCGTAGCTAGGGGAGGGCGGGGAGGGCGGCCGCCCCGGGCGCCGACCCTAGGGGGGCGCCAAAAGAGGTAGAAAATAATTTTAAAAGCTCATTTTAAGCTGCAGTTTTTAATTATAAACAGTCAAGGTAAAGAAATTTAACGGCTGATAACCTTTGCTTAATGATTTAACTGTTTTCTACCTTGTGTAACTGTAAACGTATATCCTTAAGAAACAGTGACCGGAAAAAACGCTTTCCAGCTTTCCTAGATGGGGAGGGCGCTTTTTCGAAGACTAAAATCGGAAAAAATTCACATCGGATTAAGGAATAAATAACCGATATCACTCAGAAAAGAAACCCTTTCTACTAAAGTGTTTTTTGTGTTACATGAAAAAAAAAGTTAGTGACGTTTAAAATCCACTCTACCATATTTGTCCAAGATGGTGGGGGGGGGGGGGCGCTTTTTCACTAACAAAAACCGCAGGATTTGTACAAGATCGGTGACTTGAAAACTCTTTTAACACTTAGAAAAGAAATCAATTGTATTAACACTTAATGTACGATTTCACTAGCCAGTTTTGCTAAGTGATAACGCGACAAGTTTTTTGTACGATTCTTACGATTCTCTCAACTTCATCGTGAGAGATCAGATACTTTTACTTAATTGCATTACATCTTTCCACGATCACTTCACTAAGAGAAATAAATATCACGGATTATTGTATCTTTATCCGATACGTAAAAAAGCAGTTGTTCCTAACTTTTTGGAGGTACCGAACCCCACCAGTTATATATGCGCAACCACCGAACCCTTCCTAATAGTTGTATCGTCTACACTTACAAAATCCGATCGTAAATCAAATGAGTCGGCTGTGTGTCTTGACCTCCGCGGAAGTCCTGAGACTGATTTACCGAACCTCTCGGGTTCGATGGAACCCACTGTTCTTGGCTCTTTTGATTTTCTTCTGCGAGAATTAACCAGTCAATGAAATACCCATATCGTATTCCAGTGTGAAAAATAATTTGCTATTGTATGTCAATTGTATAACCTCCATATAACAAACTTATAATCCAAGTATGTACTATATCATAACAGAGACTGTTCCAAAAATAAAACATAAAAAGATTGTCCTAAACGAATTAGCCCCTGCTACAACTTTTTATTTTTTCTGACATTACTAATCATCATTTTTAAAGAATTATGCATCTCTTAATGGAATTTAATTGGCGTCTAGTAAAGTTTTAGAGAACGACAATCATATAGCGTATTTATTAATTTTTTTCCGGACTGTCGCACATACATAAAAACACATACACACACATATATGTATGTATGTATGTATATATTATATATATATATATATATATATATATATATATATATATATATATATATATATATATATATATATATACATATATATATATATAATTATGGGGGGCGCCAAGCTGAAAGTTCGCCCCGGGCGCCGGGAGGGGTCGCTACGCCTCTGCTTAGTAGATGTATAAAAAGCTGTAATAGTGTAAGCATTGGTCGCTAATATGTAGCGAATAGATTTTAAGAGCAACCAACGCTTTGAACCGATGCCTGGAAGAAACACTGTTGTTAACACGCTTTAAAATACGCTGAAAAGAAAATAGACATCAGTTTTTAGCGCAATTTCCTTACAGGAATTGTTAGCGCAATTTCCTTACAGGAATTGCGATTAAGTCGTCTTTAAGTCGTATCTCCTTCTCAACGAAGCAATATCGAGGGGTAGTTTCAAAAGCAAATATGTTAAGCAAGTTCCAAGGATGATTGTGGGCAAAAAAAATTCCCGTAATTCCTTCCTGGATTTCCCGGAAAAGCCAAAAAACCTTGAAAAAATGCAGTTTTTGGATGGATGGATGTGTGTACGCAGCTTTAAGTCGTGTCTCCTCCTCAAAGAAGCAATATCGAGGACTAGTTCCAAAAGCAAATATGTTAAGCAAGTTCCGAGGATGATTGTGGGCCAAAAAAATTCCCGGAATTCCTTACTGGATTTCCCGGAAAAGCAAAAAAACCTCGGAAAAAAATGCAGTTTTTGGCCCATATCTCGGCAACCAGACCACTTAGCGACTTGAAACATTTACCAATCGATTCCTGCCATAATTTAGAACAATATTGCCGAAGAAAGTTTTCAAAAATATCCTTTCGTTCGGTCACAAAAAATTAATTAAGGAAATTGCGCTTAAATTGTCACTAGACTTTTTATTAACTTGTTTAAAGCTATAACAGTAAACAGTCAAAGCGTTAGTTGCTTCGCCCCCCCCCCCCGAAGAGAGTCTACCGCCAGAGGAGTTGCTAGGGGGAGGGCGGCCAACCCTAGGGTGGCGCCAAAAGGGGTAGAAAAAATATTTAAAAGCTCATTTTAAGCTGTAGTTTTTGAAGAATAAACAGTCAAAGTTAAGAAATGGAACGTCTATGAGCCTTTGCATACTGATTTAACTACCTTGAATGATTGTGTAATGTCGAACATATACCTTGAATTAACAGTGACCGTCAAAAACCGCTCTCCACCTTTACCTAGATGAGGGGGGGGGCGCTTTTTCGCGACTACAATCGGAAGGATTTACACTGGATTGGTGAGTATATAACCTTTAGCACTTAAAAGAGAAACAAATTAGACAAAAGCGTACTGTACGATTGTTTAACATTAGAAAAGAGTTAGTGACGTTAAAACCCGCTCTACCAGATTTGTCCAAGATGGTGGGTAGGAAGGGGGGCGCTTTTTCGCCAAAATAAAAACCGCAAGGTATTGTACTGGATTGGTGAGTAGATAACTTTTAACACTTAGAAAAGAAACCAATTGTATTTTGGACAATTTTTACCTCCCCCTCCCTTCCGTTACACATCTTCGCAAAAAGCCAGACTCCCCCCCCCCCCAAAATGACGTCACACCTCAGCCTACAACCACCCCCCCTCAAAATTGCAGTTGAATTTTTTTTAAACATCGATATTTTTTCCAAAATCTTGTCTGAACTATGTCAAAATAGAGTATTTTAGCCAATGCTTATTGCAATTTATTAGAACAGTTTTCTAAAACGCGAAATGACGTCTAAAATTCGTTTTCTAACATTGCTTTTTTATAATGCAAAGGTGTGACGTCGCACCATCTGAACCTGCCCCCCCCCTCCCCCTCATCACATACCGTCACAAAATTACGGACCACCCTCCCCCCTACGAGTGTGACGTCATTTATGGACGACCCCTAGAGCGATTTTTCGCCAAGGTAAATGGGAAGGATCTACACCGGAACTGGTGAGTAGATGAATCATTTAACACTTAAAATAGAAACCAGTTATATAAACACGTAGTGTACAGAGTTTCTTCCAGGCATCTCTTCGGGGGGGGGGGGGGGGGCTCTGTCCCGTCCCGTCCCGCCCCCCCCCCCGAACGAAATGAAAATTATATAGAAAATATATACTTTTAACAGTGTCCGCCCCCAAAAAGTCTACCGCCCCCCCCCCCTCGAAAATTTCAAGTGCCCCCCCCCCCCCTTCCTCCCCCGGAGAAAAAAGTCTGGAAGAAACACTGTACGATTTCACTAGCCAGTTTGTTAAGAAATGACGCGACTAGTTTTTTTGTACGATTCTTACGATTCTCTCAACTTTAACGAGAGAGATCAGATACTTTTACTTGATTGCATTACATCTTGCCTGGATCACATTATTGAAGGGAAATCAACATCACGTATTTTTATATCGCTATATGATAAGTAATATAGCATACTCTTTGCCTAAATTTTAAGAGCTAAGCAAATTAGTATAGTATACCGAATAGATCATTTTTTTAACCTACTAAAATAGTTAAAATTGGTACAACACGACATTGTTACTTTGTTCAATCTATCTAATAATTTAAAACTGTAACATACTTTCATCGAAATTGTTCTGAAGCCACAACCAAAAGTAGACCAAATACGCTTGCATCTTCTACAAACTACACTCTAAAGCAGTGGTTCTTTGTCGTTTTGGGGGTACCGAACCCCACCAGTTTCATATGAGCATTCACCGAACCCTTCTTAATAGTTTATCGTTCACACTGACAAAATCTGATGGTGAATCAAATGTCGGGCATATATCTTGACCTCCGCCGAAGCCTTGAGATTGACTTACCTAACCTGTTGGGTTCGATTGAACACAAGTTAAGAACCACTGCTCTAAACTCTTTTACTTCTTTTCGGCTTCACAAGGAGCATAGATGTAGGCAACACTTCGTCAACTAACTTTTTTTTTTTACTAAGATCGAACCCTAATAATCCAGCTTTCCCGATCTCTATTTCAAAAGATTTCCTTCATGACTTTTTTAGTCTCCTCTTCCTCTTTTCCCATGGACTGTACACCAACACCTGCTTAGTGATGTTATTTACTGTCTTTCTGGTGAATAGTTTAGATTTGGGAGTAACGTCGGAAGGCTGTTGCTGATAAGGTTTCGTAGGTATAAATATCGAAGTGTTGAAGTGTCATAATTTTTATTCGGCTGTTTTGTAGTTGAAAGTCTAGTGGAATCTGATTGGTAATAGAATAGAGAAATGATAATGCAGGTGATGAAGTATCTGGAGTTTTGGAGTATTGATTCTTGTGGTATTAAGGTATCGAATTATATTGACTGTTAAAGTGCAGTGGTAGGTCCAGTCTTCTT